CAGGCAACAAAATTAATATTGGACATGAAAGGAATAAAACTAACACTCAAGATCACAAGACATGGGGATTTTAAAGAAAAAAAAAGTTTGCTAGGAACATCGCAGGATTTTATCCAATGGCATACTGCTTGCGGGACTCCATCTCTGGGTTTAAATTCAGAGATTTTCAATCTCTTTTCCAAGGTTAAAGAGTACCATGCTGGCGGGGTGATATTGTTCTTGTTGGGTTTTGTGTGTCGGCTGGATTGATCTCCAATCTACGCTTTAGGAATGGATACATTTTTGAAAGCATAGTCATCCAGCCATCCACCCGTTGTTTGAATTTTAAAAAAATTAACTTTAAAAAAAAAATATATGCACGCAATAATTATTCAATTATTTTTTTTAAACAATAGATTTTATAATTTGATTTGATGAAAAATTTAAAGATTTATTGAGCTATAGGTGAAATTGTAATGTCTTGTTATCAATATCATTGTTGAATAGTCAACAAAGCTCTAAAAAATTTTTATTGTAAATTTTTGTAATACTAATATTCAATGTGAACACTCGCATCAAATTCAAATTGATTACGGTCCAGAGGGATTTGGTGAAAAAAGTGTGTGTGTGGGGGGGGGGGGGGTTGGCTCCCCCACTGACTCAAGGATAGACGCCCCTGCGAAGTGTTACGGCTGACCCGTAAGGCTTAGACCAACAAACACTCGCATCAAATTTAAATTGATTACGGGCCAGAGGGATTTGGGGAAAAAAGTGGGTGGGTGGGGGGGGGGGGGTTGGCTCCCCCACTGACTCAAGGATAGACGCCCCTGCGAAGTGTTACAGCTGATCCGTAAGGCTTAGACCAACATCGTTTGGATACTCTTTCAACAAAGCCTTACTGTTGTGCTTCTGATGAAGCCTCTACTGGTATGCGTCTGATGAAGCCTCTACTGTTGTGCTTCTGATGAAGCCTTTACTGTTGAGCTTCTAATGAAGCCTTTACTGTTGTGCATCTGATGAAGCCTCTACTGTTGTGCTTCTGATGAAGCCCCTACTGTTGTGCTTCTGATGAAGCCCTTACTGATGTGCTTCTGGTGAAGACTCTACTGTTGTGCTTCTGATGACGCCTCTACTGTTGTGCTTCTGATAAAGCATCTACTGTTGTGCTTCTGATGAAGCCGCCCTTACTGTTGTGCTTCTGGTGAAGCCTCTACTGTTGTGCTTCTGATGAAGCCTCTACTGTTGTGCGTCTGATGAAGCATTTACTGTTGTGCATCTGATGAAGCCTCTACTGTTGTGCGTCTGATGAAGCCTTTACTGTTGTGCATCTGATGAAGCCTCTACTGTTGTGCTTCTGATGAAGCCTCTACTGTTGTGCTTCTAATGAAGCCTCTACTGTTGTGCGTCTGATGAAGCCTCTACTGTTGTGCTTCTGATGAAGCCCTTACTGTTGTGCTTCTGATGAAGCCCTTACTGTTGTGCTTCTGATGAAGCCCTTAATGTTGTGCTTCTGATGAAGCCCTTACTGTTGTGCTTCTGATGAAGCCCTTACTGTTGTGCTTCTGATGAAGCCCTTACTGTTGTGCTTCTGATGAGGCCCTTACTGTTGTGCTTCTGATGAAGCCCTTACTGTTGTGCTTCTGATGAAGCCTCTACGGTTGTGCTTCTGATGACGCCTCTACTGTTGTGCGTCTGATTAAGCCTCTATTGTTTTGCTTCCGGTGCTTCCAAGGCAACTGGTTGCGGACTAAATGTGAACTCGGTTTTTGTGAGCTGAAGTTTTCACCTCTTCTTAACACGAATTAATTACCTATTTGAGGGGTTATGTTCTCGGTAAAATAAAGTATTTTGTTAAAATCTCAACTATGCAGCAATGCAGGTCGTGGAAGGGGGTGGCAAAAAGCTTGTCACGCCCCTGGTGGCAGTCACAATAGCCTTTGCGTGGGCCCTGTAACCCACGCGGCTGTAGAGGAACTCGGAGTTGGGATGTGTTCAAAAAAATACTTTACATTGCATTGAATAGCTAAATATTTGATTAATTATTACTCTCTAAACTCTAAAAGTTAAAACAAATTTCTAATGCAAGTGCTGTCATAACAGTAAATCATCATGCGAATCACACATATTTTTTATTTGTTAATTTGGGAAAACTCTCCCATACAGTGGAACCTCTCATAACGAGCATAATTCGTTCCAGAATCTTACTCGTTAAGCGAAACACTTGTTAAACGAAACAATTTTCCCCATGTAAAATACGATGATGTGTTCCATGCTGAAAAAATACTCAGTTTTCAAAAAAATGTATTAACATTTATTAAAATAAAATTACTTATGAATTGTTAAGGAGTGTAACAGCTTGGAATACAATTTAGATTTGAAGCAAAAAACGTAAATAAAAATATGAATTTATGACAAATAATTAATCATTTTAAGTAGAAAACTGTCTAAAGACATTTGTTTTTGCCGACGCTTTAAAATTTGACGAAAATGTGTCACAGCATTATCATTGAATAAATTTGTAGCACGAATAGCCACCTCCTTTTTAGGGTGATGCTTCTCAATGTACGATGCAACAGTTTCCCATGCTTTCACATTTATCTTATTGCGCTAGAAGATTGTTGCTCTGCTACTTCCTCGATTAATGAGCTCTCCTCCATAATTTCTTGCTGTGAAACACGATGCAACTCCATAAGCTCTTCGGTGGTCAACGCTTGACTGTGCTCTTTCACAAGCGCTTCAATATCGTTGTTGTCCACCTTGAGTTCCACGATATTGGCCATTGACACAATCTCGTTAACTGTAGACTCCACAGGTACTGTTTCAAAATCACATTCATCAACACTCTCAGGCCAAACTTTTTTCCAAGCAGAAGTGAGGGGAAAAGCGACTTCCCCTCCTGCGTAATTCGTTATGCGAAATGTCGCTCGTTAAGGGAGCAACTTCTTCACATTTTTTTTTGCTCGTTATACGAATTACTCGTTATGAGAGGTGCTCGTTATGAGAGGTTCCACTGTATTTCTATCCCCCCCCCCCTTGCGTTTCCTTAGTATCCAAAAACATTCGTCTTTTTACAACATTGTTGATAATTTGAAACCACTCCCTAACGTAGGAACGGTGTTGGGGAAGAGAGGCCGATGTCAGCACTTTTTAAGAGTGGCGTTGTTAGTTCCGGTGCAAGGATGAGAAAGGGTTGTTTTGTTGTTGTTGTTTTGTTGTTTTGTTGTTGTTGTTTTGTTGTTGTTGTTTTGTTGTTGTTGTTTTGCTGTTTTGTTGTTGTTGTTTTGTTGTTGTTGTTTTGTTGTTGTTGTTTTGTTGTTGTTGTTTTGTTGTTGTTGTTTTGTTGCTGTTGTTGTTTTGTTGTTTTGTTGTTGTTTTGTTGTTGTTTTGTTGTTGTTTTGTTGTTGTTGTTGTTTTTATGTTGTTTTTTTTTTTTTTTTTTTTTTTTTTTTTTTTTTTTTTTTTTTTTTTNATTGGAACTGGAAAAAAAAATTTGCTAAATCCAACCAGCCGCCAAAATTGACATTATTCAAGTCGGCGCCCGTGCGACTGTTGACTTTTTGTTTTAATGACAAAGTCATGACAGAAAGTAAATCATTAGGGGTATGTTACTAAAGCTAGAGAAATGCTGGCCTACAACAAATCAGCTGGCCTACAACAAATCAGCTGGCCTACAACAAATCAGTTAAATATATAGGCCTGTATGCTGGTCCGTCCAGGCGGCACTTTTATACTTTTAGGGGGCGTCATTTGAAGACTTCACCCCGGGTGCCACATGTCAGCAGAACGGCTGTGCACACTGCACAATGACTATAATGCTATAATGGATTTTTTTTTTTTTTTTTTTTTTTTTTTTTTTTTTTTTTTTTTTTTTGTTAACTTCAATCTTATAGATTTGACCCTAAGCAATGTAGAAAATTAAATCATTTAATATGGTTTAAGCTAAACCATGACACAGTAAGAGTCTTTGTGAGTCATCAACGATACCCATCGAACATGAACGAAGTACCCTAAATGCAGGGCCGTCTCAAGTTGGGTACGCTACGTGATCATCACACAGCCGCCGAAATTTGATAAAATAAAAAAAAAATAATTAAAAATTCTTAAATCTTTCCATAAATTTCCAGAGGTCAAAAATTGCCTATTTCAGCCAGTTTAACAATGTCTAAAAAAAATGTAGCGCCGGCCCTGGCTAAATTGATTGAAGATTTCCTAACCCACAAAGTACGCCTTATTCCTCTTTCAGCAAACCATTAAATAATTTAACATTTTAAACTTTTTTTTCTTCAATATTAAGTTACATTAACTAAGAAAACAAAATAAACTTTAAACTTTAAATGAAGGGGGACAAAAACCTAAAAATGGCGGGGGTGGGGGCTCCAGGAGTTCCGGGACGGCTCTGCACCAACCTTAGCTGCGTCGCTGGTTTTGTTTAGCACAAATATTTTTTTTTATTTTGGCGTTCAGGCCTACTTTTTTTTTCTTTTCTTTGTTGACATTTCGAAAATTGAGTTAGATCTAATAATAATATAGGAGATCCAAAAAATCGTGAAAGTGCTCTAATTATTAGATGTAATACTAACGCTCCAAATCTGGCCCCGCACATAACAAAATTATAGGGCACCCTAAGTTCCAAAGTATTTTGTATTCTACCACGTAAAAAATCATTGTAGAGGGGTTTAAAATGGGGTGAAACTGGTGTTGTATAATAACTAAAGAAACAATACGAAGCTACAAATACAATTAGCTGGAAAGTATCTTTATCATCAAGGCATGTAACTATTTGATTTAAATATATTAAAAATAGTTATAGAGGAATTACGAAAATGGTTTATAAAAAAAAAAAATTTATATCGACAATAACACTAAACAGATTTAAAAAAATCACCCCTCCTATTAAAAAATAATTAAAACACCCCATATATTGAAACTAGCTAATGGCATCTTCAAAATTATGTCGGAATTTTTTTAATGGTTTGAGATGTTGGTGAGAGGTGAACCAATCAAAACACAACAAAGAAACACCGGTTTACCCGGTATCACAGACGCTCTGACCTGTATCTATTTATGTCGTTATTTGAATGTTTATGACAGAAATTTTCTTAAAAAACTGCAACGTTTTTATTTGTATTCAATCACTAGTAAAAATGAACTTCGAAAAGCAACTCCCATTACAGCTAGATGCAGTTAGTGAGCAAATATTGCAACAAACTCCGCTACATTATGCCTGTTACATTGGTGACGGGCACCTGCTTGACACACTTATTGGCAAAGTGCTACTTTATAACAACAATGGCGATGCTAGTTCTGCTTGCGTAGGGGCTTTAGTTTCAGAAGAAGATGCGCTCAATGGATGGACACCAGCACACTGGGCAGCTTTTTATGGACAGGTACTTAAGTCATATATTATTTAATAATTAACCTAATGATCTAGCATATTTTTGTGTTAAGCTCACTAATTTATCACCAACTACTAACATAGGGTCTGCACTCTTAAAATTACAGCATTCCAAATTCCACTTCCTTTTATTATTTGTCCCCCATGAAATTTATTTAGTAATAAAATTATGGAAATATCTGAAACAAGGTATGGTAAAACCTGAACAAAATGGATGCAACAAAACATGTCTGCAAGAACTTTAAACCTTCTGGTTCTGGTAGGGTACGTTGCTGCATCCATGTGTACTGGTAAATGTGCAACGGTTGAGGAAGCGATGCGGCTATCCTAATGGCTCTCAGCGGATGCCAGGGCACCATTGAAACTCTCAATTGATGTGGAGTCTATGGCGGCATTGTCCAGGTGGTTCCAAGCAATTATTGTTAGTGGAAAGAATTATTGTTTATATTGAACTGTGTTACACCGAGGCACAGTGAAGCATTTGCTATTGTTCCGGATTTAACTGCTCATGGAGTTGTCAGAGGTGAAGTCAGTGTTTATTGAGTGTTTGGCTCTGATTAAGCGACCTGGCTTCTGTGGGGTGAGATACGTGTTAGTTGGGATGGTCAGCACTAGCCTTGTGACCACTTTATATAGTAGGAATGTTAGGCAGAGCTTTTCTCGTCTGTCTTTGAGGGAGGGGATGTCAAATCTTTTTAAGAGGTCAGTGACGAAACCAGGAGTGGTGGATTTGTAGTCACTTGCAATGAAGCGCACTGCGTTATGATTATTCACTCCATCTTGTCCACGTCTTGTTTTAGTTATGGGTCCCAGATGATCGCACCATATTCTAGTAGTGGACGGACAAGTGCGGGATAGGCATTTCGTTTGCAGGATGTTGGACAGTGGCGCAGATTTCTTTGAATGAAACCAAGTGTGGAGTTGGCTTTTTTTTTTTATTTTGTTTATGTGAGGTGACCATTTCAGATTATTCAAGAAGAGAATTCCAAGGTATGGATTATTTGATACTTGTTTGAGGATGGTCTGGTTTAGAGAGTACATTTAGGTTAATGTTTTTTTTTCTTATGAGATGCTCATTGTGTGGCATTTTGGTTTCGTTAAATTTCATGCTCATTTGTCCGCCAAATTCATAAGGCACTTCAAATCTGCTTGGAGGTGGTGGTGGTCATCGTAGCCGTTATCTCTCTGTAGACAAGACAGTCAACTGCAAACAGCCTCACTTGGGATTTTACAGTATCAGGGAGGGTGTTTATGTGACACAGGAAGAGAAGAAGACCCAGCACTGTGCCTTGAGGAACTCCTAGGGTGGCTTTGCCTGATCGGACGCCATATACCACTTTTTGCATGGTCCTTTGTGTTAGGAATGTTGAGAGCCGGGAGTGAAGGTCTACTTACTTCTTCAGGGAACAAAAAAAAAAGAAACACAAATATAAAAATTATGACTTAGCTGAATTGTTGATTTCGAGATGTTGTATTTGAGAGAGGACAGCAGGATGAATGAGACGAGGTAGACCATTAAATTTTTTATAAGTCTATCTATTTTTATTGTAATGGGCAAATAATAAAGTGTATTCTTTGCAATTTTTTATTGACCTTGGATGGTGAGTGCACAAGTGGGGTGCACTTTGGTTCTATATTTTTACGGCGCTATTTTTGGCCAGAGCTTTTTCTCATGGGGGGGGGGGGGGGGGGGGTTTGGACAAAAATCTTGGTCTTCCCTAGGTGAAAATAACTTAACCCTAGTCCTAGAGTTGTGAAATTTGTTTATGCTACCTCTGGCTCTGGTCTCAGCACTCTAGCATATTAGAATAAATATCAGAATATATTTCTGGACATATGAAAATTCCTTAGTTATTTGTCATAATTTTATATTTATAAATCTAATTTTTTTTTTTTTTTAATGAACATGGTGTCTATAGTCTCTGTTCTAACAATGTCAACCAATATGTGTGTGAACTCTCTATCAACAGTTGAGTTGTTTAATGAAACTTCATGTCAAGCCATATTTGGGATTTGACACACCCACTCACAGATCCAACACATCTCCTTTGCACTTAGCAGCACAGTCAGGTGCAGTGTTGTGTCTTAAGTGGCTGTTACAGTGTGGGGCTTCTAGAAACAAACAGGTTAGAAAATCATTTATTTATGGACAGGGATTAAACTTAAAAGGGTCTTCTGTGTGTAAGTGTATGCCTTAGTGTAACAACCATTAAATACAAGTTGTTTTGTTAGAATAAGAGTTACCATTACATTACATATTTTCTCGACACCAATGGCAGCAACCTCAAGGCTCAATCATTTTTTGGTTTAATTTTGCTATTCCTACAAGAGGAATTTTTTTTTTAAGACATTTTGACTGAAGTCAGTTATTTACAAATGTAAGCTTAGGATTCCAACTAAATTTTTTGTTTTTCACATTGTGGGGGGTGACATACTTTATAATTATTTGATAATTTTAGGCACAAAGTTTTTAAAATTTATTTCAAATACATTTGCGATTTATTTGTAGGATTTTATGGGGGAAACACCTCTTCATAAAGCTGCTAAAGCTGGAAATACAGACTGTGTGGCTATGTTGGTAAGCCATGGTGCATCTCTTGAGTAAGTTCAATTCAATGATTTCCAAGTATATTTTCAAACCATCTCTGCCAGCCTCCAGGGTTGTAAACATAAGATTTTTTTGTTTAGTAAAATTGCATGCATGTGCAAGTGTGTGAACAATGCTAATAATTTTCTATGCTGAAGCCAAAAAGCCTGTGCTATTTCCACCATTTTAAACAGATGTGATTGTTGTTGTTTCAAAATGATAGGTTGAACATTTAGTTTAGAAATCTATAGATTTATATCTTACAAGCCTTGCATATTGTTAATTTAAAGATGAGGATTTACTTATTTGATTCAAATCGCTTCAAAGGCTCACAATTTTCACTTCACAAATTGAACCAACTATAGTTATGGTAAAATTGATTCAATAATAAATGATCTAAAACAAATTATCTCTCATTTTCAGTATGAAAAATCATAGAGGACTTATCCCAGCAGAACTAGCGGAACAGTATAATCACTTTGCTTTGGCTCAGTACTTGAAGGGTGCTTTAGAGTACGCAGAAAGAGGGTCTCAAGGTAAAACCCATTGCGATCCATTACCTATAACTGACTGGAACAACCGCAACACTAATCCTAACAGCAGTGTGCAGCCTTCCCCTTACAGCTACACAACCCAGCCTAAGTTTTCAGAAGGACACAACCCCACTCATTCGCATAATATATTCATGAATGGTGAGGGAATATACACCAACTTTACAAAAGATTCTGTTGAAATGGAAGAGAGCGAGTCAGAGATGGCTGAAACAAGTCCTGATTTTGGCAGCAGTGACAACATTGCCTTGGACAAAATGTTTGGTGGAATGAAGAGATCTTTCGATTATGATTCAGATGATGGAAGTTCCCACATTAATAAACGGCGATGTTATGGTAAGTAGTCCTACCTATTTATGGGAAACTTGCATTTTAGGAAATTATTTCTTTTTAAAATAAATTAATATTTTTCAAAGAGTAATTCTTGATTTTTGCTCTAGAGTTACAGAACAGAAATAAATATAATTTAAAAAGGTAATGCTGTTCTTGATATCCATGTATCCTTATTGCTTTTCTTTTATCTCAGTGCCGGCATCACAGAAATGCCACAAGGAAAGATATGGGGATGCATATAACAACAACATTATATCTTCTTATAATGCCGTTCTTGCCATGAAAGTAGAGCCACTAACAGAAAAAAATAATACAGGTGAATATGAACCTTAATTGTCATTTAATTTTAAAATCTTTTTGAAGTCATTGCATGATGCACAAGTGATTTAATCGCACTCAGTTGTGTTTGAGATATACCAAAATAACTTCTAGGAAATAACCAAAGAAAACATTCATTAGAATTGGTGAAGTCACATTAAACTGTTGAAGTCCTGAGAGATCAGGAAAAAAAATGTCAACTGTTATTTGGTGTCACAGAGCATTCGACATGGGGGGTGTGGGGCTCCTTCAGATTCATGCACTTATCATATTTGGCATCAGTTTGATAAAATACCGTTTGATAATATAAAATTTACATTAAAACCACCTATTTTATTAACATCAAATAATTGGAAAGCATTTGCTTTATACTGAGTAGGTGTATCTGCAAATCGGTGGAACACTAGTCCCAATCTTTCAATTTAACATGTTACATCATATATTTATTATATTTACTGGAAGGTTGATACAGCATATTATTGTGTTGATCTCTTGCACAGTTACATCAGCTTACAAACCAGGCAGTCCTGTGGCACCACAGTCTTCATTAATGGAACATCAGGCTTCTGTGGATGCTCAGCAAGGTTATGACAGTGCTTTCATGACAACAGTAACAAGTGCCTTCCATTGAACCTTCCTTAAGGGGGTGACCAATGGTTATCTCAACATCAATTGGTGACATTTTTTTTTTCATTTTTTATTTTTTTCAAAATATATTGGTGTCATATTGCTCTAAGTAGTCTAAGTCTAATAAATTTTACGCAAGGTAGTATTTTCAAAAGGCTTTTTTAGGTTTTGTGGAGGGTGGTGCAATGTGCCCAATAGTCAGCACCTGAATCCACTACTGGTACTACTTGTGAGTGCAGTAGCAAAAAAATTGACATGGATCCTTTTGAGATTGTGGCCACGCTAACAGAATGCATATATTGATTCATGACATCATAGACCTTCCATAATGACATGTAACTATAACTCTTCCATTAATGTCATGAAATATGAATAACCCAATTTATCTGATGCTCCAAGGAAAATACAACTCCTTTCATTTCATGGTACCGGTACGTAAGTCAGGTTTTTTCTTCAACCCTATCTGTTCAATGACCTTATGATGCCTACTATTACTATTACATTTCAGACCTTTAGGCTATAACCAGCTCATTTGGCTGTGTATTGTTTTACTTTAAGCCCTATCACTAATAATGGGCTGCAAACAAATTATATTTGTGTGTATATAATATATATATATATAAGATGTAATCATATCACTCTCATATTTTAAAAAATAGCATTTATAAATATGAAAAGGATAGTGTGAGCCTATCCATTTTTAATGTTGCTAAGCTCGGTTTAATAATTGTACAAATTTCATTTTAATGTTGGATTCCAATATAAAAAGCACAAGGAAAGATATGGGGAAGCTTTTCTTCTCTTCAGTAAACAATACTCGTTTTGTATCCCTTTACTTTATTGTTTTTTTCTTTACAATTATATTACTTCAGAAAAACAAGGTCTGGACGAATTTTGTCTCATTTGAAAGAAAAAAAAAGTAATTACAAATTAAGTAACACATAGTTCTTCTGGTGCTTTATAAGTGAAGAACTTGTTATAATTATAATATATTATTATTGTCAACTTGTGTATCATTTTGTAAATTGTATTGATTGTCTTTGAAGTTAAATTTTTATTTGAAATGTTATTCAAGTTTTTGACAAACAGTTATCTCACAATAACTACAATTGCATTGTCTTTGCAACTGACATCACCTTGATGGGGCATGAAAAATGGAGCAAGGATGAAGAAATAATTACTTTAGCTCCCGTATGCTCATATACATTATTTCACTAAACCATTTTGTATCTCTTAAATGTTTACCCTTTTTAAACATAAAATGTTTTTACATTATACTCCACAATGGAAGAGCCAAAGCCTGTTATCAGACAGCAGTACTTTTTACAGTTCACAGCTTTTTTTTTTTTAAGTGAACAAGATGTCTGTCATTTGTATTCCCTTAAACAAAATTTTAACAAAAAATGCTTTTTTCCATTTGATACAGTTTTATGAATCTCTTTCATTTTGTTTTAATAATGAGATGCGAAATGTATATTCTGTTTTCCTTTACCAACGGTACCAGTATATAAGCTGTTATTTTAAAACACCGGTATATAAGCTTTTATTTTAAAACACCGGTATATAAGCTGTTATTTTAAAACACCGGTATATAAGCTGTTATTTTAAAGCACCGGTATATAAGCTGTTATTTTAAAACAATCAATTGTGCTTCTTTTAGCATAGTGCATTTTTAAACTAGTTTTGTCTTTTCATGTTAAAAAATATTTCAGCTCAAATTTTTGTAGAACTGTCATTATTGTGGTATTTTTAATTGAAATATATAGCATATCAATATCAATAGCAGGTAATGTATCAATTTTAACATGTGCCATTATAAACTCTTTTCAAACTTTTTTTTTAAATTGTCAGCATTTGTGGAGTATTTCTTCCAAGAGCTACTTCTGCTATTAAACTTTTAAAATTATTTCTTTCCTTAATTTAGTTGTTCATATTAAATTATATTATCCCATTTCTTAAGTGTTACAAGTTTACTTGCTTAGATGTTAAAAATGAAAAAAGGTGATCTATTGGTATTAATCTTGTATATAAGAACACGTTTTTTTAAAAGAAGTTATTGATTTTGAATGTTGATCGCTTCTGCTTATTAGCCTGCTGCCTTGATGTTATTAAACGTTTGAACTGCCTTAACACCTTTCATCGCACATGCAAATTATTTTTTGAATCGTTGAAGAAAAATTTTGTCAAAATCTGGGAATTAAACAAGTGGTTACAATAAAAGAGTTTTTAGTCACTTGAATTACTCATTTAGTTGTGAATATTTATTATAAACGTATCCCCAAACTAATAAAGATTTGTTCCTTTTGGTGGTGTTTTTTTAAATCTCCAAGACTTTTTTCATGTTAACTATGATTGAAAGGTGTTGTTTTTTTTTAAAACTGTCATCCATAAGTAAATGACTCTGAAAACATTATGTCATTATTTGAGCTTATTTAATTGTCTATTTTGTTGCTTAAATTATTTAAATTTGGAATTGAAAGTTTGCTTTTCTCTGCCCTCTGGATTCTTCAAACAAAAAATAGGTCATACGGCCTACATGCAAGAATTTCTATTTAAAGTTTAAATAAGAAACAATTAACTTTTTATTACTCTTTTTAAATTTATTTTGAGTTTGACTATGACATGTAATCAATATTTCTCATTTTGGACATGATCTTGATGTAATTTCACGTGTGAACCTGTGCTGGTATATTTGATTCATTTAACTTAAATTGTGTTGCTTGTTTTTTCAGTTAAATTTTTGCTGTTTGATGTATTTTATTATTGCATTTTGAACTCGAATTTTCACTATCTTTTAAGATATCAGCCAGTTGCACTGGGATAATTATGACTTAAAGGTGTTCACTGTTGCAAATAGTTTTTATACTTTGATTTATTATATTCTTAATTTTAAATAAATGTAGGTCCTTTTTCAGTTTTTATTTAACTTCCTAGTATTAGGGCATTCGCAAATTTTTCTTATATTCATTTGTCATTCAAATGCTTCCAACAGACCAATGATTTTTCTTATGTCAACAAAATTGTTCGCCCTCATCTGTCACGAACTTAATGGCGCCTTTTTATTTAGTTAATTAATGTTTAAAATATTACTATTCTATTATTATTATGCTTTCAAATTCTTGTTTATACATTGCTGCAGATGTATGTCTTTACTTGACTTGCGCAAGGGTATAGATAAAAGTATATGAATATTTGTTTATATATTGCTGCACATGAGTATAGCTTATTATATTCATTCATCTATTTCTTTTAAAGCTCTGCATCAGCTGTCTAAATCAAAATCCAGCCTCATTGACACTGACAGATCAAATTTTTATGTCTGGGACACTACTATTTAACACCCACATAAATATACATTTGTTGAAGTAAATTTCTGTTTTTTTTTTAAACATTTCAAACTATTAGTTTTTAAATGTTTATATTAACCATGCCATGCTTACAACCTGACCAATTAAATATGATACCACTTCAAATCATATCTGAGTTATAATCATGTATGTCAATTGTTTTAAAATTCTTATACACAATTTAAACATGGGCCAGTTATTTTCTTTATAATTATAATTATCTAAAAGAATATGTATCCTGCCACACTATCATTCAAATTTTGCATTCAAAATTCAATTGACTTTGTTTTGTTGACAGCTGCAATTGGATTTTTTGTTTTCCATGTGGAATTTTCAGAGGGCTATGCTGTATCTTTTTTGCAATTTACTCACAGAATAGCATAGCCTCTGGGCTCTACAATTTCTGGATTAATCATTTCATATTTTTCTCTAATCCAAAATGCCATATTAAAACAATGGCCCAGGACTTCAACTCCCCTAATATTTTCTTGACACATATTTACCCTACTCAAAGTAAATGTTCCAGACCCCTGCTGTGGTGTAATTGATATAGTGCTGACCTCTATAAATGATTCGAGATCTTGTAAAGTGTAATAAAAACTGTCACACAGACATTGGACTCTCACTGGCCAGAGGCAGATAAAGCAGAACCACTCTACCAGTGGACAATGCATGGATCCGTTCCCCAAAACTCTAAAAGAGTCTGCAAATCCAGAAATAGACTTAATTGCCATGAAAAAGACCACTAATCATCTTCACATATATAAAGTTATACCCTCTATGTGTGGTGCTAAAAAATACATTTAGTATGTCCCCGCTGATTTTCTGTATGCTGATATCTAATCAACTTTAACACCCAGTTAACAAGTAAGTTTTTAAAAATAATTTTATAACAAAAACAAATGACTGCCACAAAAAAGTAACTAATATATATAATTTATTCTACATTTTAACATGTAGATCAAATGTTGAAATGTAGGTTTTCAAAGAGCAAACTCATCACATAGATGATGTTACATCTTTAGTCTATTGCGGTTTGAGTGCCAAGAGTTTTTTTTTCACAGCAAGCTTAGTGAATTCCTTCATGATTACAACCAACTGGATGTAACGAGTTGCTACTGGATTAAGTAAGTCCAGATCCCAAGAAATACTGAATTCAGTGCAGCAATTCAACTTCATTCTTGTCTTGCTTGCTGTAAAAATAAAAATACTGAGAGCTCATTCCATATCATAAACAGGCCCACTGAAACGGCTGCATAATCCAGTCAAAGCATTAATCAAAACTGTTTCAGAATCCATGGTGCTGTTAAAAGAAGAAATGAGAAAATTTAGCATATATGCTCGGTAATGAAAAATATATAACTATAACATAACTATTAGTTGTTCATATGTTTGTGCAATATAACTATAACAACTATTAGTTGTTCATTGCACAAACATTTTACAGTAAGTGTTGCGAGGAAAATTATGAAACCACAGATAGGACCTCTTTAAGATAGTATTTTGTTAGGACCAGAATATCTTTTAACCCAAATTTTATATTGGAAATTTTTCTACTGAGTCTACTGTATTATTATTAAATTCAGATGCCTACCTGCTCTAATTAAACCACAGAAAAAACCGAATGCCACAACATTTTGCAATGTCACCATACGGGCCATTTTGACTTCCTCATCCATCTTTTGTTTATCTTCATCTGCATCACCGCCAGCTCTTTGCATACGAATCATTTTCTAAAATAAAAAATTGAATTTAAAAAAATTATAATAATAAAAAAACAAATTAATAACACAAGAGCTCATTTACATGAAGTAACCTGTGGGTGCTGGGTGGTCAAGTAGTCTAAACTGACTCAAACCAAATAGCTGGCCACTGGTGGTCTGGAGTTCATTCCCCACCAAAATCAACATCCCAAGCACTCCAGGTGGATTGGACTCGTTAAGCCTTGGACGGCAACTCATCGGAAAGAAGGATAACTCTGAATTCAAACCAGGAGCCAGAATGATCACTAAATTGATCATGGCCCCTCCAAAATAAGAACAAAAAAAAATATTCCCATGCCAATGAAGGTCACAAATTCTCTTTCATATGCATTCCCTTCTGCTGTAAACATCTTCTGTTTTTAAAATAAACATAGAAATCTCAATACTGTAACTATAATCAATTTATGAAAAATTTCAGGCTTTAAAAATACAAGAATTATTTGGCTATTAATATATATCCCCTTGACTTGATGAATGCATGGATACAAAACAATATTGAAATAAAGGCATTTAATTTTAAATAAATTTTAAATTTTTACTGATACACTAAAATAGACATGAAACGTTAACTGATGACAATTCACCATTCACAAAATGACATGTCCTCTGCTACGCGTTAGCTGTGAAAAATGTTTAATCGTATCCTGAATAGGCTTATACTTATACTTGTCTTATACATTTTAGAGACTTTATTAGGGAACACATTTTTATTGATTTCTGAAAAAAAAAATAGCTGAAATACTTTCACAGTTTCACCTAAGCGACGCTGTTAGGAAAGATATCTAAAAAAATATAAGCAGAATGGTGCAGCAGAAACTGCAGACATATGACTCAAGGGCTCAACAACAAACTATTGTGGCAGCAAGAGATAATACCCCAGGATTTCAAAGATACCTCTGCCTCTATTGTACAAGAGCATGGCCATCTCAGCATGATAAAATGCATCATGACAAGAGCTGCTGCTAGAAAGCCAGTTTTGTTTCTTACAGAATGTGGGACCACTGACATGGTTTTTGTGGTTGGACAGCTACATGAGTATGAGACAGGAGAATGAGAAATGTCAGGAGCATAATTTTAAAATGAACTCTTCTCCACTTTGACTTTGATCTAGACTAGTACTAAAACCATTAGCCTAGTGACAATCAACGCAAAGAATTGAATGACTGGAAAAAAAATAGTCACCCCCACGGATTGAATTAAAATATAGTAAATGTAGTAGTAAATTAAGTATTGTAGTAGTAATAACTAATACTAATACTAATAACTGAATAACTTTAATTTTAAGTCCAAGAGTTCCACAGTGTGCAGCCACTTCAAAATGTTGCATAAATATATAGAAAGCCAAAATTACTCATTAAATAATGACTCTTATTTTTTCATATAAAAGTAATTTAATTAATTATTACAATGTGTAAAGGGCTCTTCGAAGCGGTTAAATTTCGCCGTTAAATGTTCAATGTCAATGCGACATGTGAGTGGAAGAAAACAAAGTAACGGAATGGCCGATTTCAAACAAACAACCTGTATTTTAAATAAAACGCTTTACAACTCGTTTTTTAGCTCTTTGATATTTAAATAATTTATGCATAATATTTAATATAATGGAGACTTATATTTCTAGAAATACAGTAATAAGCCTATTTAATATTAATTTATACACTTTTATTTCGCAAGAGAAGAAACAAAAAACATAAAATTGTTGCATGTCATCTTGATTCTATAACCATGAAACCCGGAAGAAGTTTTTGTTTACTCTGGCGACTAAGCTTCAAAATACATAAACTACATTGTTTAAGAACTTCTGAAGAAGTATTAGATCTACATCAAAAGAAAAACATGAATTCAAATGAAAGCATTATAATTTCATTCATGCTCCTTTATATCGCTCTTAACTGTTGTAAGTGTATTTTAAATCGTTGACTTAAATAGTTTAATTTAAACACTTTCACTTATCAGTATCAGTGTCAGACTTATCTGATTAAACTTATCGGCAACCCTCCGAAGTCCGGTCCCAAATTATTTCCAATGATTAATCCTTACTTAAAAGTCTTGGGCATCATTCTGTTTTGAAATTCATGTTTGCGTTAGTGGACGATGTTGGATGGAGGTTGTAGGCCGTCGAGATGCACAACCACACTAGCGCATTATCACTAGACTCACTAGTCATGTGTTTCCAGGAACAACTATCGTCACGGACGCTTGGCGAGGATATCAACATGTAGGTCAGCTCAACAACGGGGTGTATGCTCACGCTGTCATTTTGCACGCGCATGAATTTGTTGATCCAGTAGACCAGGATATTCACACAGAAACTATTGAAGGACTTTGGCTTTGGATGCATGCGAAACGTAAACTCTGCTATCAGAGTGGTACTAGTCGCGATCTGTTTGCCAGCTACTTGGGGGCCTTTCAGTGGCGCAACAGTCACAAGCAGAACGTTTTTGGAGCTATTTGCAAATGCTATGTGCCAATGACAACATTTAGTATTTACTGACTGACTGGTTTGTAAAGTGACAGTTATTTGCAAAAGCTATGACTGACATTTCTGCTGTTTTCTAACAATACACACTGTGCATTGCAAATTTTTTTATACAAAATAATTTGGGATCGGACTTCGGAGGATTGCCAACTTATCAGTATCATAAGTCTAATTATCAGACTTAATTGTTAATAAATTATTGAATTCAGTGTTATTGCTGGCAGTGCTGGTGCCAACAAATCAGTCAGTCAAGTCAAAAGGAATCTCAACATATTGTACTTTTACTTTTGAAAATTTTAAAATAAAATATCAGAAGCTGGAGTCAGTAATGCAATCAATTTCTTGGTTTAAAGGCCTTGCTTGATAATTATTAAAGTTACAATTACAAATTAATAAACAATGCCTAAGCCTAAGCAATTTAATGAGTTCTAGTTCAACTAACTTTTTTTTAGTTCTATGGTAGGCCTACTAAAATAACAACAACAAATTTACTCAACATCAACTTTTTAGTAGTTTTTGAGGTATGATTTTTTTTTTTAAATGCGAGGTAATTGGTAATTTTTTATTTTTTATTTTTTTTTTTACAATTGACTGTACATGTATACCACAGTTCTGTAACTGTTTTCATTTTGTGGTATTGCTTTATTAAATAATAACTTTAAAATATTAAACTACATCTTCATGATTTATGTTTCAGTTACAAATTCAGTAGTAGTCTCCTCTACTTTATCCAAGTACCTTTACTTTACTTACCATGATTTACTTGATTTTAAAAATTTAGTCAACTCATTGAATTGGCCATGTAATTAAAGAACAAGGCAAATAAATTATGAAGTGAAGAGTTTGGTTCCATGCACCCTGGTGTGACTCTAAAGCTGACCATCAGTACATTTTCAAAAGTTTACTGCCATATTTATGTTACTATCAGTTAGGGGTGTGCCGGATCCGTTTTTTCCAACCGGATCCGGATTTTCTTATGCGAAATCCGCCGGATCCGGATTCCGGTTTCTCCCGGATTCCGGATTTTGGTACTATTGGTAGATACTTCGGTAAGTCAAGGTGGACTACTACTTTTTGTGTATGGGAATTCGCAATCGGCGCCAAAAAATCCGAGTTTTTAATTTTCCGATGTGTGTCTATTTATTATTAAATTAGTACTTTCGATATATATTTGAGTTCCGTTCCATTTGGATAAGTGTCTTACGAGAGACGCCATGTTTCTACGCGTTCGCAGCAGGTTATGCAGCTCGCTCAACCTAATTTCGCCATGGGGTTGGCCACGCCCCCCTTTTTAATGGCGGAAGTTGACGATACTTAGGAAATATTAATTTATTATCACTATTTACATCAAAATAATTGATAACTTGTGTTTCAGAATGCATTTAAAGACATTTAAACTGGAATGTTTTAATTTGAGCTTTAACAACCCGGTAGAATCCATATTATAAATGATCAGAATTTACCGTGTGCAACACGTTGTCATTGGCAACCATTCACAGCCACTTGCATAACTGTATCGTAGTACTACCTCAGAGTTTCATTCATAAGAGTTTGCCGTGTGCAAAAACTATTAAACCATTGGTCAGGGAAAGCTTTAATTAATTATTCATGTGCCAAAGTTGAAAGTTTAAACTAAGTCTAAACAGTATTTTAGTGATAAGGCAGGGAATGCGTTGCCTTATATAAACTATATAGTCATTGCGCATGACGGGATTGGTGGAATGAGATCACAGAATGTGGAGATGCAGTCCATGTTAAAAAATGACAAACCAAGTCGTACTTTAAAAATTCATAACTTTAAAACTACAACAGCTAAAAATATGATTTTGGTGTTATAATTCTTTAAAAAATTACATCTTTTCAACTATGCCATTGGTTTATTTTTACAAAAAGTTTAAATTTTCTTATCAAAGTCCCTACACTATTGGCCACTATTAGCGGTGCTGACTCTAGCCTCTGGTATGTACGGAATATTAAACATTAAACAAGCTCAACGCTCGAAACAATCGATTAATGTATCGTGATCGTGTGGAATTCGGGAAAGAGAATTACTTTTATTTCAGATTATGATCCGGTGAGTCACAAAATCTGGCAAATTCCGAAATCCGGTATATTCCGGATTCCGGAATCCGGTTGTTCCGGATACATGTAAATCCGGCGGAACCGGATTTCACCGGATAGTGCAAAATCCGGCGGAACCGGATTCCGGACCGGGGTCCGGCACACCCCTACTATCAGTATCTTCTACCATAGTATAGCAATATAACTAGTCATATTTTTGGAATTCAATTCACTGTAATCTTCATCTTGCATATCGATACTCCATATTGATTTTTAACATAGCTTAGGGGCCATCCATAAATGACCCCCCTCCCCCCATGGTCACAAATCGTCACAAAAAGTTAGACCTCAAATATAACGTCACAAATCTCTGCACCCCCCTCCTTATAAAAAGTGTCTGTGTTTACTACTGTCCTTTACAAACCCTTAAGAAATTCGCCTCCCATGGATATCAAATTACTGCATCCGTGTCAGAAACATTTCACTAGATAAGTGGTTCTTAACCCGGGGTACAAGTACCTCTCCAGCCTTGAGGTGTGGGATACCAAAAAATTGTATTCAGTGGCGTACCAAGGGGGGTGTGGACCGCACCGGCTGACACCATCTCAGGGGGTGACATCAAATTGAAAGATAGCATAATTACAGAGCACACACTGATCTGTCTAACCGAAATTCGTAAAAGGATTACAGATGACTCGTACATTTTCCACCCTTGTAACCAATTAAAATGCGTGTTTCGTTAATATTACAATTTCAAGGTTGATGCGTCAGCAATTAGGTTACCTTATTATTAGGTCAGAAACACACCGTTTTGACCATGTTTCATCGCCAAATGAAGTGTTCGGTAACTTTTGTAAGTTGCAGGAAGCTATTTTTATCTAAATTCTGAGAAATACAACTATCATTTGATAACAATGGGCGATTCTAAGAATGTTGCAGTTCTTAAATACATTAAACCCCTGACCTTCAATTAATTTGTTTTTGTTCTTGTATTTCTTATACTTTGGAGTAAGTTTAACAAGAACAAATACATAGTTAAAAAGTGGGGGGGGGGGGGGGGGGCGCCGCCATGAGCTTACCGGACCGGGTGACACCAACCCTAGCTACACCACTGATTCTATTTGCTGCAATTGCTAGTTGTTGCTGCTTTAAAAAAAAGAAAAAAAGAAAGTTTTTATGGATTTTGATTAGCAGCAGTCAATGATGAATTTCATTGGCCCATTTTTTTGTATTGGTAATTTTCTCCCCTGTTTATAAAAAGTTAAATTAAAGAAATAAAACTACGATAACTAAATTATTTAATTATTTTAAATTTTATTACAATGTAATTTATTGGGTTGGGGGAGGGATGTTTTAAAAGGAGTGGTCCTGCAACGCTGCAAAAAAAGGTTAAGAATCCCTGCCATAGAGCATTTACCCCCCCCCCCCCCCCCCCCCCCCCCCCCCCCCCCCCATGCGCTAAATGCTTAATTGCATTTTGACATTATCAAAAATTTTCAGGGGAACAGTTACCCCTACCCCTCCCTTCAATTTCACTCGGGGGATTTGGCTCCCCCACCCCCACCCCCGTCAACCTTTTCCCCCGCTCTATCCCACGTTCCATGTCCAGATTTAGCCATAAATTCTCACGACTGTCATTGTAATTGTAACTACATTCCAATTCTCCTACTAATGGGCCTCCTGTAACTTGATCAGAGGCCATTCTTCGGACCTCGCACACAACTGTACTGATTCTCTCAGTGATAGTAGTTTTAAAATAAAATAATTATTATTGTTTTGTTTTTTTTAATAATGTTAAAAATTTCTGTAATTTAATGTTATTAAGTGCAATTCTTTACTACAACATTCTGCTTTTCATGTGACGTCACAAGGCTTGAGCATTCAATCCCCCAAAAATCTGTTGGTCTTGAGTTCAATCCCCCCCCCTCCCAAAACGCCTGACGTCATTTATGGATGGCCCCTTATAAACTTTTAAAGAGTTTGTAAAATCTTAGTACATAGTAAACTACTATTCTTCTATCACCCATAACTTGGTAATGAAAAGAAAGACAAACAAAATTGGATTTCTCAATAGTGAAGAGTGATAAATTATCACATAATGTAAAGTTATTTGTTAGCTAGTACTAGTAGCCCTGAATCAGCTAATACATCTCAGGGCATTGGTTGGGGGTGATGTTTAGGCAATATGTGTAGGGTAATCAGCAGGCGCTGTCAAGCCTGTTAGCCAAGAATGATTTAAAGTATGAAATCATTATTTTTCTACATTTTTATTTAAATCACTGGTTAAACAAGGTCAGTTGATTCAGAGAGCTCAGCAAATCAATTTTTTTTAAAAATAACTTAGATGAATTTGCTAGTTTCCAATTCATGACATGCATGGAACAAATAATGACAAACCATTTTACCTTATTTTACTTAACCCTCGAACTGTGGCATGCATCATTCTGTGGTGTGGAGCTTTACAGAGCTTTTTGAGTACCTTTTGAAATTACATTAAATGACATAGAAATATTGATACAAGACCTCTATAAGTATATATTTTTAGAAAGGTAAATGGATGGGGATAAAGTTGGCCATATTGGCCACCCAGTAAAAAACATTTTGCTACGTGTCCTTGACCTTGGAGTTCTCAAGAAAATAAAAATCGACAAAATGTCTTGCTTTCAAGTGCTCATAACATCATTATTTTTTATAGATACGCTTAAAACACAAATCTAAATAAATGTTGTAGCCAATTCATTTATCTATCAGAAAATGTATAGTTTGCTAAGGTTTTGATTGTAATTACACATCTGAAAGCAATTTTAGTAATTTTAGGTAATTTATATAAGAAACTGGGACCACTGCTAAAACCAAGTACAAATTACAAAATCTCAGGCAAATAGTTATTATTGACTAGTAAACATTTAAAAAGGAACTGTGGAACTGATTTGGGTTGTTAAACTATAAAATTTATTAGTTCTGATCTATAATCTCTAGCTTCTGTGACTAAAATTCAGTCAGTCCAACCTCCGTGCCTGGCTCGAAGTCAAACAGTAGCCTCAGTAGGCCTACTTCAGTATCACTAAGAGTAGTCTAGAAAAGAAGAATCTGAAGTGAGATATCATGGGGAATGTTAAAATCATCATCAGTATCACTTAAATCCTCCTAAAAAGCTTTCAAAAATATTTATATTAGTTCTCACTCTGAAGGCCCGGCCATAGCTTCAGCCATTTTTTCTTTAAAAAAAACAGAGATATAAAATTCCAATTAAAAAGTAGTTATTGTTAAGTTACAAGAAACAGCTTGACCCGGATGTTGATTTAGTTATTAATAAAAGGAAATGACTACGATTTCTGTTAAATATTGGATTGGAAGTTGCTATTGGACGGATCTTTTATCGGCCTATTTTTTCGGACGCCACTGCACAGAACGAGAATGTCGGCCGATTTCGTCGGCCGACCACAGTTCGAGGGTTAATAATAATAGTCCCCTCTAGGTCATCCAGCAACAGTGGTAGAAGCAGCACTAAGAAAAAAAATCTTTTTTTTTAAATTCCAAAATTTAGGAATGACTTAAATTTAAGTGGCTTTTATAACTTTAAAATTAAGGTTCTGAAAATCTCAAATTTACATATGAATAACATTACAGAATCTAAAAATTTGCCATGGCCAGTAAAATGGTTTACAAATTAAAGTGATCAACGGGGATTATCAACATGATATGGCCATGTTGACATTATTCACCACTTTAACTAGTTTTAGCCATGTTTTCTTCAAAATCAAATTTGTTGTACTTATAAGTAATCTTTTTTCTGTTGATCTCTTTACAATTACAATATTAATATCCCCTGCTTTTGAGCAACCCTTGCAACCTCTCATAATTCTTCTTTGATTTATTAATCTTTGTCAGTTGTTGGTGCATAGCCGTGAATGTTGTTTAATTGATTTAATCGGATATCTCATATTGCAATCTTGAAAAAAAAAATAATAATCTTAAGATATTAATCCTAAAATCGACAGGTCATGAAAAATTTTACATTTTAAAAAAAATTAAAATGTGTGGTCTTGAAAGGGTTTATGTCCACTTACATTTACATGACAAACAGCAAATTTTGTGACCTTTTACTTTTACTATTTCCACCACTAAAGTGGATAACAGCCAATGCAGACCTTAGCCTCCTTGGTCATATAGTTACTGAACATAATATAAAAGAAGGAGGACGGACTATAGGTCCCACAAAGGGAACTGTCAACTTTTGTTTTATGAAATCTCTATTGTCTTTCTGCTGCCATTGCTAAGAGTAAAATCTACATTCCTTTCAAGTTTATTGTCCAGAATTTTCATTCAATGATTTGCTGAAGGTGTTAATAATTTTTAAGTTTAGATCTTAATATTATGTTTAGATTTATTAAATTTATAATCAAACATTTTCTCAATTGAGGTATTTTTAAAAATCCTTATGCATATGAATTAAAATAAATATGATTAATTGAAATTCTTTTAATATTTACAGACGCTGAGACAATTGAGGATTACATATGCAGTCAAAGGTTCAAAGGATCCAGAGTGGACTACAAGGAACGTTCTTGTATTGAAGGAGAAGCAGTCGGTTGTGAAGATCCTTTCCCATATCATAACATGCGTGATTGTTTAAAAGATTTTTATGGTATTCAAACCATTAATTAAATCTATATAAAACATATTCAGGGTTATTTTCTCTACCTTAAATTGCTAAATATATTAAAAACCTTTTTTTTAAAATCTGGTATAATGCTTTTAAAAATATTTAAAAAGGGGCATTGTCTTGCTAGGTCAAAGCAATGTATGTGAACAAGTCAAACCCTGTAAGAACCATGGCGTCTGTTCACCAATACTAACAGATAATCACACCAGGACATTTAAATGTGAATGTGCCAGCACTGGTTTCTATGGAGATAGATGTGACAAAAGTAAGTCATTGTTGTTCATACAGAGCCATCAATATGCATGTCTTAAGTTTGCTGTGAAAGCAGGATGGAGAACTAAGAACATTTTACACTCGTTTAAGAGCGTGTCTACGTTTGTAAGAATTATGACATTCATAGAAATTTAACCCATGAATAATCTTTTGTATGCAGGTTGACCGCAATTCACATCATTTCCCCTACATAGTTAAACCTGTTACCACTTTGTCAGAAGGTGGACAATGGCTTGAAATTTATTGATCGAAAACCTAAATGATTTATTAGTATTAATAAGGAAATGAAAAATATGTATTTACTTATATATATATTTTTTTTTTCTTTCACAGAATGTCCCAAAGATTTGTCAGCCAGAAATCCAAAGTGGTTACCTTGCCTACAGATTTAATATCAGTTGTTACTGAGTGAATACTTTAAATGCACTCAGTCCCCCATAATAAAATATACAACATAGTTCAACTATGAATTTTTTCAGCATTTATAAAAGATAAATGTATATAAGCATTTGTAACTAACTAAGGCAGTTTTATTTTAATAAATGGTGTATTTTTACACAACTGAAATCCTATGCTAATATAGGCCTATATTTTTTACCTATGCAACATATTTGTTATGAGTAAAGCTTAAGCTCTACAGGTAGTTATTGAATTTATATTATAATAAAAAGCTGATTTTCAAATCAATTTACCTAAATACAGTTATTTAATGTTAAATTATATGGACCTAAACAGATGAAAACAAATGTTTTAAATATCATCTAACCTCATCTAAAAGAAAATAGCCCAAAAATAGTTGTACAAATTTTTAAAAAAAATTTTAAATGTCCAGTGCTATAAATTTTTTTTACAATTTTATCAACAAGCTCAAATCAAACAAAGGGATTAAACATTCTCCCTCGGTAAAGACAATGTTTATAACTTTTGTCCTAGCTTATCTTATTCGTATCATAAAACTTTTATGATGTTTCACTTTGAACAAAAAATATGGTTGGTCCAGGTATTGTAAGGCCTAAGGTTTAATTAATATACAAATAATTTCACAATCATTGAGTAAGGTACACCTTGTTTAAATAATTAATAGCTTATTTAATTTGTTTAACCATATCTGTGTTCCTTTGATGGTAATTTATTCATTATTATATTAAAACCCTACTTTGTATACATCATAATATATATTGATTTTTAACAAAACTGAAATAAGCTTTTTTCCCCCCTCATTAGTGATTATAACTGGGATCTAACTGAGCCATTACACAATATATAACTTAAATCCTGATATTTTGTGATCCATATTTTAAACTTACTCTCATCCCCATTCTACTGTCAATTATTTTTATTACATTCCACTGCCAATTTCAATTTACTTCTAACATTCAACTATCAATTAAGTTTCTTACAATTGAATGTCAATTATTTTTCCTACATTCATCTGTCAAATTTTTTTTTTTTGTATTCCTCTGTCAATTATTTTTCTTACATTCCTCTGTCAATTATTTTTCACACTCTTACATTCCACTGTCAAATTATGGTTTTTTTACTGAATGAATGTATACTATTTTCAGAGCAGCATTTAATATATTAAATTTTATATGAAAATAATGCATTAGTATGTGAACTATTTTACTTTTGATGTTTTATATTTTTGTGATGTAAATTGATGCATATTTGTATTTCCTAATATATTACAGAATTTTACATTAACTATTTTTAATATCCGTGCTACTCACCATATACATACAGAGATCTGATAATAATGAAGAAAGGAATCATTTTATTTAAAAGCAGTCTTGAGAAAGCATGTGTCCTATTTTATGGGGAATCAATTCCAGCATGACAGCAGTTTAATTGAGGTATAACATATCATTTATTTAATCCGTATTATTTATTCTCTAATTTAAATTTAAGGTCATATAATCCCAAATAATTGCTACTTCACTTCATGTTCTTTATATTTTCCTTTTGAAAAATTTCAATAAAAATCCCAGTAGGTCATTTTTGAAGCATAAACAAAAATTATGTTAAGAGTTGGAGTGAAAAAGGTTAATATGAATTAAAAGCTAAAATGGAAATTTTACCTTGTCTTACAATCATGATGTGTTTTGGATGTACTTGACCTACAGGCACACCTGGCTATCTTTTATGTGCCTTACAATCATGATGTATTTGGGATGCACATGACCTATAGGCACACTTGGCCATCTTTTTTTATGTCTTACAATCAAGATTTGGTAGGGATGCACTTGGTCTACTGGCACACCTGGCCATCTTTTATACTACTAATTACAAATGTTGTGTCTGTGCCAGTTGTTTTATTGCCTTGTTAGCAAATCTTTTCATGAAGGTTGTGCTTAGTATTTATTGGTTGTCTCAAGTACCGTAGTTGTAAACACTTTTAATGCGATACTATTGGAGAAAACGAATGTGTAAGTTTAATGAATTTCTCCCCAAGACTTAGCTTATTTAAAAGTGTTGTTTAACTTGTCAAGTTCTTGTTTTTATTTCTATTAATCGCTTTGGAAAGATATTTTAAATCTAAGAAGTCAAGCTGTTAATATATATATATGTATATATATATTGGTTTTGATTTTGATGCTTAATTTTAGCACAGAATAAAATATCTGTATAATCTACTATTGATTAAAGAACTTACTTGATATAATTGAACAAATTATTAAGTGATAATTTAAAGATTGGTAATTTTTATACCATGTACATTTTCTTTCTTTTAAAAATTTTGTTATATTTTAATTTTATAAATAGCCTGTTTTTTTTTATTATTTTTTATTTTTAGGGAGAGAACAATGTAAACTTATGAATAGTTGAAGTAAATTTGAACAATCAATTTCAAAACAGTACCAATCCTATTCCGTTACCTTTCGGTAAATGTTGCATTCACTGTGTATCTGTAGATTTATTTTAAACCTCATTCTTGAATTAAGCTTTTATTATTCGATCAGCATAAGCTTTTATTATTCAATCAGCATTTTTACTTTCAATATATATATAATAATAACCTGGTGGCTTATTGTTGATTATATTTATATTTATATCTTTTTGTTCTGTATCCTTTACACTATATTTATCATGACAAAATTAAACACTCTCCAAAAGAAATTACAAATCAAAATTAAATTCTGTTTTTAAAGTGCTTCTTTAATAATAAATGTGTTTTCTTTATTCAGTACAATTTGTAAGGAACAGAAATATGTTGCTGGAGCTGTGTAACGCCTAAAGGTGAAGTGTGGAAATCGCGAGTAAACTCGTTTGTGTAAAATAAATGCTTCCATTTTACGGTAACCTCAATGCCTGATATGCTTATGATAAATGATTCTTTCCTTGGAAGTATAAGAAGTAGGGCTGAGCTGTGTACTCACAAGGATACCCAGAAATGCCGATTATTAGCACACCCAAAACCTCCCCATGCCCGGCAAAAAAGAAACCGGGTGTTTAAAAAAACTCTAGGCTCATTTTTTGCTCATTTTTGGATACATTTTACCTGAATTAAATATTAATAATAGAAAACTGGCATGGTATGGGTATGAGACTAATTTAAGCTAAATGAAACTGCAACTGCAAGGCTCTGAAAATACTAATGTAGTTGATGCGAATTTTGTGAACCACAGGTTGAGAACAACTGTCCTAATCCATAAACATGACCCAAAAAAAAACTTTGCATGCTCAGTATCATCTGTCAGTCTGTCAAACAGCAATTGAAATGTTAATTGGAAATAGAGCATGCCATATTGCTTAGACAAATAAATACACAAAATTTATGCTCATTATACTGCAGCTGACATGCCAACCTATGGGATCAAAAAATGTAAAAAAAATCCCCCCCCCCCCAATTTAAAACACCATAAAAAAAAGAAAAAAAAAAATAAAAAGTCAAAAAAAAAAAAAAAAAAAAAAAAAAAAGAATTGTCCCCCCTTCGTTTCACGCACATCTAGGCATGTCTACATCAATCCTAAATGGATGTAGTATGGCATCTTTTAAAAATGGGGGGGGGGGATCAAAACCAAAACTTGGTCAGCTTGTTAAGTTGTTTATTACTAGAGGCGCCACAGTAATTAGCAATTTAAATAAAACCTGCAAATTCAGGGGGGTGGGGGGAATGACCCCCTCCCGCCCAACCCAAATGACGTCTCTGTTTTCAACTTGTTTATTTATAGTTTTAGTCCACATTGATGGAAAATCTTGCAGAAGTGTATTGTCTGCTCTTTTCACGACATTTCTAATACACAATGGTCAGACCGAGCACCTGTCAGGCACCAACGTAGCTTTTTCTTTCTTTTTTTTTTTTTTTTTTTTTTTTAACGTTTGGAGTTCACCTGAACTGCCAAAACAGGAACATAAATTATTGTAGTTTTGTCTCATGTTCCATCATTCATTTGTGTGATAATGTATGCTGTATGATACAGAGTATTAGTTAAAAGTGATATCTGTAACAAGGTTATTCAGTTCAGAAATGCAACGCTGGATGTCGAGGTGCCTGGCTTAAAAAGCTTGATTTCAGCATGTTGCTTCTAACTTGTCCATAGTAGTGGAACTCTCTGGAACTCGGGCTGAAGCAAAAAGCAAAGCAAAGAGGTTTCACGATGAAGACTCTACAGGAGAAGCAAGATTTGTCAAAACAAGATGAAATGAATGAATCCCCTTGAGGAAGAATACTTCAGAAAGTCTGTCGTCTGTGTAGTGTTGGATATTGTTATTGATGGACTCGCTGCTCGTTTCAATGCTGCAGTGAATATTTCTGAGAAGTTCAGCTTCCCCTGGAAGTACCTATCAATTCCTGAAGATGAACTTACAGGAAAATGAATATTACTGACAGATCAATCTCCCGCCGATATCAGCGAGGATCGTGTAATGGAGATTAGTCATCTGTTCATTCAAGCAAAATTTTGGAGGGGGCCAGCCGAGTCCATTGGAGCTACTGAATTACTTGAAAATATGCAAGCTGAAAGAACACTTTCCAGTTATATGTATCCGCCTCTGTATTCTTTTAACATACAGCTGTCTCAGTGGCGTAGCGAGGGGGGTGCGGACCGCACCGGGTGACACCAACCCTAGCTACGCCACTGAGCTGTCTGTCGTTTCACGTTTCTCTGCTACCTTTACGTTTGGGGCTGATATATTCGATTAAGTCAATCTTACACAGCAATAGGCCTACCTGCAGACTAAGGGCATAACTCTTGACAAAATAGTGACCAGAAGTGCTGGGATTTTTTCTGCACGAGAAGCACAGACACATAGTAAATACGTGCTATTCAGCAAACACTTTTAAAATCAGACCAATTCAATATAGAATTTGGCAATCGAGAGACACCGGACTAACTTTGAAAATAGAAACAAGAGGGGTTTGCTTGACTGAATTTATCGTTTTCATTGTGAACACTAGATCGGATTAATAGCCACCAAGGAAGTTGTAGCCTCTGGATATGTTTGAAAACTTAGACTAAGAGGGTACTATTAGCGACAAAAACAATATTTACTGATACTGGTGTCCATTTCAAAACTGACCCCTTTTAGTTTCTATGATGAGTTGTCTGAAACTCTAATATATAAATGAAATACCAAAGTTGGGAAAGAAAATTTGACACACTTTATCTATTATTCATTATTTAATCCAGTTGAAGACCCTAATGCTAAAAGTAAAAGTCATATTTTGTCAAAATCGATCTGAACTGTGACCTTTTAATATCCAGTTAAGCCAAGTGTAGCCTACTGCAGAAATTTGACCCCATTAAAATGTATATAAATCACTTAATTAAACAAGGAAAAATGTGAAATTGATCACATTTTATAGACGAAAAGAATACTTGAACTTCATTATCTCAGAATGTGTATTTTGTGACTTAAGTACTTCTAGCACTGAGGTCTTCAATTGTACAAAACTAAGCGTCTATCAGGCAAGTGTGCTTAGTACCCTCCTATATGGCAGTGAAGAGTGGACAACATATGTCAGTCATGAGCGGAAACTCAACAGCTTCCATCAGAGATGCCTGCTTCGTCGCATTTCAGGCAGTCGATGGCAGGACAAGGTGCCTAACACAGAGGTCTTGGAACGTGCAAAAAATGTTTAGCATATTCTCCGCTCTTAACAAGAGGCGCCTTCGCTGGTTAGGCCATGTAAAGAGAATGGAGAAAGGCTGTATTCAAAAGAATCTGCTGTATGGAGAGTTGGCAGAAGGGCCAAGATTTATTGAACGGCCACGGTTACCAATTATGGACGTATGCAAAAGGAGCATGAGGGAAGCCAACACAGAAACAACGAAGGGGCGGAAGGGGGATCATCGCTGAGCACCACTCCAGTTGGCAGTGTATGAAGGAATCAAAAAGGCAGAAGATAAGCGAAACGAAGCCCTTGCAACAAAAAGAAAAATACGGAAGGCCAAAGCTAACAAGGAGTCAATATTCTCTTTTGAGAAATGCAGCCGAGACTGCCATTCCAGGATCGGCCTGGTGCGCCATTTGATGAAGTGTACATAGCTATTCCATCGTCTCGCGAAGACGGAAGGATGCCATATATATCATCCAATTGTCAGATTTTTGTTACTTTTGATGACAATAAAAACTTGTGAACAAAACAAATTGACACATTGATAATGGTAAAAACTCTTAACTACAGTTTTTTTTTTTAAATGTGAAAACAAAAAATTGATTAGTATAATATTTTTATATCGACTGAAAAGCATAAAATAAAAACAATAAATACCCCCTTTGGTGCAAATAAAGCTTTAAAATGGCGGCTATTGCAAAGAACAAGAAACCCAGCAAAAAGCCAGCCTGCAAGTACGGTAGTAAATGTTATCGCAAAAACCCACAACATATACAGAATTATAGTCATCTGGACGAAGATGAAAATAATGATATGGTAAATATATTGGTTATGTTAATTACATTTAGATAATTTTACTTGGGTTCATTTTTATGATTCTCAATCTGATTTTCTTATCATTTCATTATTAGTTACAAGTTATTGTAACTATATAAATTAAATATATATATAAGAGAGTCAGATTCAAGGGGGAGTCCATTAATTATGTCAACAAAATAGGGGGAAGGGAAGTTTGAAATGTTTGAACAAGTGTTGACAAAGGGGGGAGGGGTCAATTAATCGATGTCAACAATCATGTTTTCTCTATTAATAGATACTTCGATGAAACAAGGGAGACTACTACTTTTTGTGTATCGGAAATAGAAATCGGTGCCGAAAAATCCGAGTTTTTAATTTTCCGATGTGTGTGTCTATTTATTAAAAAATTAGTACTTTCGATATATATTTGAGTTCCGTTTTCGGCCTTATAATTAGGTAGACATCTTGGCCTACATTTTAATCAATTTCTTTTTCATTTACAATCGGTCAGCTTTGAGAAAATCCTTGGTAAATATAAGGCAACTTTCATCATTAAAATTAAGTCGAAGGAAAAAATTTGTCACTACCAAATTTTTTTTGCATCTGGGGACTCTATTGATCTACATGTATGCCAATTTTCACAGCGATAAGTGTCTTACGAGAGACGCCATGTTTCTATGTGTTCGCAGCAGGTCATGCAGCTCGCTCAAACTAATTTCGCCATGGGGTGGGCCACGCCCCCTTTTGAATGGCGGAAGTTGCCGATACTTAGGAAATATTAATTTATTACCACTATTTACATCAAAATAATTGATAACTTGTGTTTCAGAATGCATTTTGAAGACATTTAAACTGGAATGTTTTAATTTGAGCTTTAACAACCCGGTAGAATCCATATTATAAATGATCAGAATTTACCGTGTGCAACACGTTGTCATTGGCAACCATTCACAGCCACTTGCATAATGGCTGTATCGTAGTTTCATTCATAAGAGTTTGCCGTGTGCAAAAACTACTATACCATTGGTCAGGGAAAGCTTTAATTAATTATTCATGTGCCACAGTTGAATGTTTAAACTAAGTCGACCCTAAACAGTATTTTAGTGATAAGGCAATGCGTTGCCTTATATAAAGTATAAAGTCATTGCGCATGACGCGAACAGCGGAATGAGGTCACAAGATGTGGAGGTTTCGTCCATAGTAAAAAATACCAAACGAACTCACACTTTAAAAATTCATAGCTCAAAAAGTACTTAAGCTAAAAAGTTGATTCTGGTTTCATTTTTTTATTTGAAATTTGCTCTAACTAACTGTGTTATTAAAAAAATTATTTCAATTTTTTTAAATTTTATATTCAAGTGCCTACTATTAATATTTTAATCTTAAAAATTGACTGGTTATTATTTTTTTTTTAAGTTTAAAGAGTGTAAGTGTAAATAGTCACATAATTTTTATGCTTTTAATAAATAATAATAAGAGTTATTTAATGAAAATTAGGCCTAATACTAATGTGTGTCTGCCTGTGCACTGCACACTGCAGATGGCTGGTCAGAATGTTAGCACACCTTGTTAGTGCAAGACAAGTAAAAAGTTGGCCTGTATTTACCTGTTGATTCTGGTAGTAGTGTTCGTTGCTGCGTCCATAAACTGGCATCTGTTTGTCGCAAATGACTAGGGTGGTATGTTTGCGATTTGCAATCATTTTGCAGGTATGGAACAAGGACAGGGTTCATGTATCATGTGCAGTCAAGATAAATGATAATTATAGAGTAGGTAAGTATGTGATATTTTGAGAATTAAGGGAAAGTAAAGTTAGTAACAATGATAACATCGCTGCTTGAACGGATTTGAAAAATCTGTAACATCTGTTTTGCATCACAAGTCATGTTGAAAAAGCATGTTTAACAGCACAGATAATGCTCTCTTGAGCATCAGAAATTACCACCTGCTCCTCAACAAAATGGGATTTGACCAATGTGAGTAGTTCCAGGAGACAGAGAGAGCTTATGCTGTTAATGCTCACACTGACAATGCTTCTATTTTAAGTGCTGAATGGTTAGATGAGTATGATGTTGACTTGTCTGGTATATCAGTTCCGCAAGATGAAAATGATAAATCAGCTACTATGCCCATTGTTACCATAGAGAAGATGAAAGCAGCTAGAAACTATACTACAATTGTCAGCTATACTTACATTAATCATATTTATACTTCCATAAAAATTTATATTTAGTATTTATAACCCTTTAATTGATTCTGCATTATAAAATTTAAGTGTAAAAACTTTTCAACCTGACGATTAACAAGCTAAAGATGTAATAAAAAAATTTTCTTACAATTTTATTTGTCATTTAAATAGATCATCACAAATTCTTGTGGTGGTGGTTGGGGGGGGGGGGAGAATATGGGTTGGTATTATAAAATGTTGACATAATTACTTAGAGGGTGTCATTAAAAGTTTGACAGTTTTATTTTTTGGGGTGGGGGCTCCTAAATTGTGTAAAAATTGTTGACATTTTAATCTTGTTTTTGTTACTAATTTTATGATGAGAGTTACCCCTTTACTAAATACATAGCTATTGAATTGCTTATGGCTTATGCAAAAAGGAGTTCATAACAGCTACCATAGTAAAAATAGGTCTAATAAAAACGGAAAAATCTGGTCACTAAAAATGCAATAAAAGGGAGGGGAGGGTAACACCCAAAAATGTGCTTTATTGAAAATAAAACTAATGCTACATGTAATTCTTTATCATTTTTAAAAATCTAAATTAATTGTTTGTTGGCTATCATTAATTTTGCCAGGTGGTAATTCTTAGACATACCTAAACCCTAATTCTTGAATTTATAGTCCACCTTTATTTTGGTAAAAGGGATCAATCAATTTAATTTTTTAATAAAATATTTTTAAAGAAAGAAAACTGTTCACTGATCATTCAGTTCACTGGAGCATTAGATGAGCGCTCACATAATGCAACTTCCAAAATAGTCAATGGGTCCATTGAACTTGAGAGTTGTTTGAACCTATTAATGTGAAGACTCTGATTTAAATGACATATTTCAGAATGAGATTGAAGGTAAGGCCAGACCAGTTAAAACCAGCAGAGAGACCAAACAAAAAAGGACAATTAATGATTTTTTCAGTAAGTCAAAACAGTCCCACGAGGTATCAGATTCAGGTAAGAAATACTTTTAAACACAACCTATGCCAAAGTAGAGTCTAATGACATATGAACTTATTTTAATTTTTTTTTTAAATAAGATAAGATTCTTTTATTGATCCAAACAAATTTAAATTTAATTTAATTTTTTGATTGCATTGTTATATACATTTTCAGCTCATAAATAAATACATATTTTAATAAAGTCCATATTTTTCTACTAAAACAAATTTGAACACAAGACATCTAAATTAAATTATTTCACTAGTGAAAAAAAACAGCCATTCAGTTAACTCCCTTAGTCATAACAGGGACTTAATTAGCTGTCATTTAGATTTTGTATCTTGTTGGTGAGCATGCTGGTAAATTTGTTCAGATTGGGGAACAAAAGAATTTTTATATCTTTGTGTCCTCGCCTTAAGAGAAAGAATTTATACTTAACGGGCGGATCCAAGAGGGTGTGATGAAGACGGCTGACATAATAAAATTACCTTGTCATTTTTTTAAACTGACTGGCCAGTCCTCCAGATGACACACTGTTTATTCTTCTTCTATATCTTCTATATCTTAAGGGCCCACGATCAATTTATTGATCATTTTGGCTCCTATGCATGTAGATGGGATTTGCAATGTTTCTGTTACTGGTGGTGATGAGGAAATTATGCACTAGGGGTTTGAAGGCTTGAGGCAATAGACACAAATGTGTTATTAACAAGCCCCTTAAGAGCCCCCATTCTTGTCTAATTTTACATTATTTAGATTGAGGCAGTAAATACACTTTCATTTAAATGTTTTTTTTTGTTTTTTTTAAAAACAATGCAGTCTTTTTTTCTTCTGTTGTAAAACAAATTATTCATTTTTTTAAAATTGGCTTTTATCAAATCTACACAGATGAAGACACTGGCCCTCCTCCTGGAAAGAAAGGAAAATCAGAACATTTATCCAAAACTAATATCAGTGAAGATGAACCAGACACTGGTGATGGGGAGGGGGAGAAGTCATCATTGGACACAGAGGAGGATGAAACAGAGGTGGCCCCAAATTCTCCAGAGGATGTTAAACAGAGCATAAAAGACAAATACTTGGTTGAAATGCCAGCAGATTTTTACCAGTTCTGGGATTTTTGTAAATCTCTTAAACCAGGAAATCCTTCAAGTGAGTGTTTGAAATGTGCTATAGTCATTGGTTGTGTCAGGCAACAAATACATCAGCGGTAGCATCTATTGGGGGGGGGGGGGGGGGGTCTCCATGCTTCTGTGGAGATGAGTGAAATTAAAATATGTGAAATCAGTGTTTGAAATGTGCTATAGTCATTGGTTGTGTCAGGCAACAAATACATCAGCGGTAGCATCTATTGGGGGGGGGGGTGGGGTCTCCATGCTTCTGTGAAGATGATTGAAATTAAAATATGTGAAATCCTTATTGTAGTAATGTGATGCTGTTTGTCATAAGTGGTGAGATATTGGTAATTATGAAGGATGTTGTGAAATTTTTTTTGATAGATGTGTTCCTGAAATTGTGTAGAGTGGGCCACGGGAAATCCCTGGATCTGCAGATCCAGGTGGTCCAAGGAAAGTGTTTGGGATGTGAAAAGGCTTAATGAGATGGTTTGTGTTGTTTTATTCAGTTGGTATTTCATCGAGCCACAACTTACACATTATTGGTCAGAAGATGGACACACCAAGGTACGGCGTGGCATTGCTACTGAATGCCAATTCAGAGTACCACCTTAAAAAAGGGATATGGCCCTGCATGCAAATATTTTGCAAACCCAACCCCCCGCCCCCCCCCCCCAATCCCAATGTAAAGACTGCTCTGTTGGCAAAAAATGAAGCACCTCCATAACACCTTTAAAAAGGGATTAGGCCCTGCATGCAAATATTTTTCAAAACCAACCCCCCGCCCCCCCCCCCAATCCCAATGTAAAGACTGCTCTGTTGGCAAAAAATGAAGCACCTCCATATGATGAAACAAAAGGTCTGACCTCCTCCCTCCATCCACTTTCCTACATCACTGTCCTAGAGACCAAATGTCCTCCTTTAACCTTAAAATGGCTTCCCTGTTTGGCATTGGCCACAATGTAGGAAACCCTGATTAGGGTGATTAAATTTAATTGAATTGTCTTGTTTTATAATTTGGGGTGGGGAGTGTTTGTAAGATTTTTTTTGAAAGCTCTAAAAAATATGAGTGCAATAGGAAAAGAAGGAGGGTGAGGGTGTGTGTAAAATTTGAATTTTTTGCACAGGTCTTAGTAATATATGGATCCCCCCCCTAAAAAAAAACATAATAAAGAAAATTAAGACAGATATTATTTGTTAGTTTAAGGGGCTTAAAGTGTACCAGTACACAACTTAACTGTGAATGTTATGATGTTAGATAGTGAAATAAGTATGTCATCTTTTAACTTCTTACATTTACGCATACTCTTAGGTGCCCTGGAAAAAACACTAAACGTTTCATTGGTCGGACCATTTGATATCCTGGGTAAAAAGCACAAACTAATCACAAAAAACAAACATGGAAGGCGCCCAAATTTTCTTCTACACTACAGATATTACTATGATCCACCAGAGTTTCAGACTGTCCTAATTTCTAAAGATGATTCTTCTAAATTTCACCTAGGCTATTACAGGTAGAAATTATCAGTGTAAAAAAACAAATTTAAATCAAATAGATATTTGTACTATTATGTGAGTTGTTTTTTCTTGTACAATTTTGTGAATGTGAACTAATTATTTTATTTTAATTGTTTTAGAGATAATTATTTATTGACCTATTCCTACAATAACTAAAGTAATTCTAAGTGTATTCCCTAAACCTTCTTTTAATGTCCACTTCTTTAGAGATGACCCCAAGGAAGCTCCAGTATTTGTGGCCAGTAGTTCTCCAGGAGAGAGCCCTAAAGAAAAGATTTATCAGTGTGGAGAAAATTTATTTGCCGCCCTCCAGTGAGTTCATACGAATTTTGTTTATGATCAGGGAAGACATATTCTGACATTTAAAATTTAAGCCATGATTTCTCTATTGTTTTTAAAGATTAATTTTTTACTTTGGAAACATTATAATCACGCGGGTATTTGTCCCTATTTTTTTCTTATAATCATACATCTCATGTACTTGGGTTCTGGGTAGCCGAATGGTCTAAACTGAGCAAACATCAAGTTGATGGTCTGGAGTTCAATTCAAGCCAAAAGCACATTCAAGCAAAAACATCACCAGCACCCCCCGGGTGGATGGGACTCGTTAACCTTGGATGTCAACTCATCTTAGAGAAGGAAACTCTGAATTCAAACTCGGAGAGGAGTCCCGTAGGCGAATAACATTGACACAATGGAACATTCCGACAACTCCTGCCACGCCACTGGCGATAATGATATATATAGTTTTCTAGGGAAATGAATGCGTCTACTTAATAGATTTTGACAGAGTTTTATGTGTTCCCTATTTGTTTCCTATCAGTGACCTGGCTTGCAGAAAGTTGAAATCAAGCTCAGGGGAAACAAAGCAGAATCTGGAGCAGCTCATTAAATCTGTTAAGGAAGCAGCAGAAAAATATGACCTGCCTCTGGCCATGAGTACCAGGCGAATCAAGGACAGGCAGAAGAAAGTGGTCTCCCCTACCTTCCACGGAGCAGGGATTGTTGTTCCTGTTGATGCCAATGATGTTGGATATAGGCCTGTGCCAGAAACACCAGGTATGATCTTACTGTCTAGTTTATCTTTTTTGCTGGCATCGGTCCGTCACAATGTGACGATGGTGTAGACTTCGCAGGACGAAATCCGCAAGGCCCTGTTATCTACAATTTTTTTTAATGTCAACAAAATATCTATACACAACAAGATAGCCATGTAATGCTTGCAAATTGCCAGATAAGATCCTTCATGTTGGTCCAACGCAATCATTAAGTGATAAAACTTCAGCTTCAAGTTGTTACGCACTGACTTATATTGGGAGAAATTAATCCCCTATTTTAATTTTAATTGGCTCGTTGTAAACAGTGCCTAACAAAGGACGATACCATAGAGTCAACAAAGTAAAGATACGACACCCAAAACAGTTGCTAGTTACAATTAAAAAGATTTATTAAGTCTTAAGATAATTACAAAAGAAAAGAAAATATAATTACAATCTTCAACTTACAGTATGGTAGATCTTGTACCGGTACACAGTTAATACAGTTAGAATAATGTGCCAATGAATAAGGATGAATGCGAAATGAACACATATAAGTATGAGCACACAAATACACAAAGAATAATACACGCCTCGTAAAGTTAATAATATCTATCTGAATCTCCGTCCCTCCGTCTGTGCCTGTCAATCCCTTATATAGGTGGGTCTATCGACGCTTAAGCCCTGCCTTCGAGAAGCTACATAGCATTTCTAGAACAATCACATTCATTCTACAAAATACTATTTGGAACAGATTAATTATTTTTAGTGGCTGGCGGCATAAACACGACAGATCAAACGATTAAGCCACACCCCTCTGTGAACACAGCGTCTCATGCGGGGTCAATCATAGGGCACGCACGAGAAAAATTATGTAAACAAGATCTATATAACAAAGTCCTAGGAAAAAACATAGGAGCCAGAATGATCAATTCAATGATCGTGGGACCTCAAAACAAAGAAGAAGAAGCAGCCGAGCTGATGAGATTTTTGGTGTAAAATTAAATTAGTTTTTATAAATTTACTACAACTTTATGAAAAAATAAACCATTTACAGCTCATGCTATTTAAAGAGTAATTAAGTCTGGATGCACTTATTTCATTTGATTGATTTAACCTATTCAGTCCTGGCCAATCATAATTTTCACTTAGTTATTTTCAAGCCGAGTGCAAACAAATTAGCTTGTAGGGTAGATTGGTTCAAAAAGAAATACAGTGCTTCTATTCTGTGACGTAATTATAGACAACATACTCCAAGTGACTTGCACTGAGAAACTGTTGCATTATGTTTTATTAAATTCATTATCAAATTATTTTCCAATGCTATTAAGTAACTTCTTAAAAAAAGCATATTTGAAAAAGTATGCTGCTACACAACTACACAGCAGTGTAAGAAAATAAGAACATAAATCAAATTATTGATTTTCAACGAACAATCAATATTTCAGCTGCTCTGCGGGGAATGTTGAAAAAGATTGCAGACAGCAAGACTGATGCTGAAAGGGACAAAAGTTTGGACCCACTGCAGGAGTTGATCACCCTGGTCCAGTTTGCCAATGATGAATGTGACTACGGTGAGGGCCTGGAGCTGGGCTTGGATCTGTTCAGCTACGGCAGTAGTGTCCTCCACCCTCAGATCAGCTCCCTCCTCCCACTGGCCTACCAGCTGCTGAATCGACAAGAGTTTAGTCGAATTATCGAGGCTCATTTGAAGCGCAGGCGTGGCCTGACAGAGTGTGTGGATGAGTTGGCTGTGTGAGAGAAGTTGGTCTTGTCGTCAGGAGCATGTGTATGATGAGTTCGCCTAGGGTTGCTACAGTTTAACCCCAGGAGATGTGTCAGTTTGGCCATGGAGTAGAAACGTGAGTGAATGGCAAGGTCATCGGAGATGTGTGTAAATAGTTTAGCCGTGTCACTGGTGTGTCAATGGCTTGACCATGCAAGACATGTGTTTATCGCTTGACCATGCAAGACGTGTGTTAATCGCTTGACCATGCTAGACATGTGTCTATGGCTTGGCCATGTTAGATGTGTGTCAATGGTCTGGCTTTGGGAGAGGTGTATGTGTGAATCAACTGCATGGAAGAAGTTGTGGATTGGATGAGGTTACCACACGAGTGGTGTGGTTGAGTGGATCTGTTCACAATCTAGCAATTTTTATCTCTGAGGTGTGTTGACAATTAAACATTCTTATATATTTGTAGAAAACTTGGTTGCTTTTTGTTCCTTATGTCCCTTGAGTTACATCTGCCTGACCCTTTTTAATGATAAACCTTTTTAATGATAAACCTTTTTAAAGATAAACCTTTTTTAATGATAAACCTTTTTAAAGATAAATCTTTTTTAATGATAAACCTTTTTTAATGATAAACCTTTTTAATGATAAACCTTTTTAAAGATAAACCTTTTTAATGATAAACCTTTTTAATGATAAACCTTTTTTAAAGATAAACCTTTTTAATGATAAACCTTTTTAAAGATAAACCTTTTTAATGATAAACCTTTTTAAAGATAAACCTTTTTAATGATAAACCTTTTTAATGATAAACCTTTTTAATGATAAACCTTTTTTATAAACCTTTTTAATGATAAACCTTTTTAAAGATAAACCTTTTTAATGATAAACCTTTTTAATGATAAACCTTTTTAAAGATAAACCTTTTTAATGATAAACCTTTTTAATGATAAACCTTTTTTAAAGATAAACCTTTTTAATGATAAACCTTTTTAAAGATAAACCTTTTTAATGATAAACCTTTTTAATGATAAACCTTTTTAAAGATAAACCTTTTTTAATGATAAACCTATTAATGATAAACCTTTTTTAAAGATAAACCTTTTTAATGATAAACCTTTTTTAAAGATAAACCTTTTTTAATGATAAACCTTTTTAATGATAAACCTTTTTAATGATAAATCTTTTTAATGATAAACCTTTTTAATGATAAACCTTTTTTAAAGATAAACTTTTTTAATGATAAACCTTTTTAATGATAAACCTTTTTAATGATAAACCTTTTTAATGATAAACCTTTTTAATGATAAACCTTTTTTAAAGATAAACCTTTTTTAATGATAAACCTTAAGTATACCTGGTACATTGTTTCCATTAAACTGGCCAAACCATTAAGTATTAGTAGATTTTTAATGTGATAAAAATAATAAACCATCAGAAGAATATTCAACTCAAATGTTGAGGCACTTCTTTTGTATGGCTGTGAAACTTGGAGAACAATGGGAAAAAATCATTAAAGAACGTTTTTTTTAAAACAGATGCTTGCAAAGGATCCTCAAAATAAGAGGGTTTGAAAAAATTTCCAACACTGTCCTTTGGGAGAGAGCACCAAGTGTTCCTCTGGAAACGGAGATACAAAGGAGAAAATGGAAAGGGCACAGATTGAGGAAACTAAACACTACTAACATCACTAGCAAGGCCCTCAATTTGAATCCTCAATGTACCTCGGAAAGAGGAAGACCCAGAGCCACACGGAAAAGGTGTTTAGAGGCAGAGGTGAAGTGAATGAAGATTGGTTGGGCTGACCTAGCAAAGATAGGACAGGGACAGATGGAAAAGTAGTGTTGATGGCCTATGCTCCATTGGGAGTGAGACAGGCCAAGAAGAAGAATATCTGACGTTCCATCCATATTGGTCCATATTCAGTCCAGTATTGTTCCTACATCTCCTCAGTGTATGACACCACGTCACTTATTAAAACAGAATTCATTTTGTTTCTTGGTTGACCTTGGGCAGGAAAGTAGCACAACCCGGACAAAGAAATATAGCAGGGACAAATGTATAAATCCATAACAAAATAGCAAATGTTTTTTAAAAAATGGATAAAATACAAGCAGCTGCATCTGCTCTAAGGAAACATTTTTTTAAAAAAATGGTTATATATGTGTATGGTAAACTATTTGTTACTTTCTAATTTCTAGTGTAGAGATGCGTTACCTTCATTCATAAGGCGGATCTCAGGTGACCTTCATTCATATGACGGATCTCACGTGATCTTCATTCATATGGTGGATCTCACGTGACCTTCATTCATATGACGGATCTCTCTCACGTGACTTTCATTCATATGGCGGATCTCTCACGTGACTTTCATTCATATGGCGGATCTCTCTCACGTGACCTTCATTCATATGGCGGATCTCGCGTGACCTTCATTCATATGACGGATCTCACGTGACCTTCATTCATATGACGGATCTCACGTGATCTTTATTCATATGACGGATCTCGCGTGATCTTCATTCATATGGCTGATCTGTGAGACATGCACCGACAAAGGTGTCAGATCAACAACTTCTCCCCTACCACTTCACTTAAGGGCTGGGTCTGGGAGTGCCTGAAAATAAGTCCTAAGGGCTGGGTCTGGGGGTGCCTGAACGTAAGTCCTAAGGGCTTGGTCTGGGGGTGCTGAAAGTAAGTTCTAAGGGCTGGGGGTGCCTGAAAGTAAGTCCTAAGGGCTGGGGGTGCCTGAAAGTAAGTCCTAAGAGCTGGGGGTGCCTGAAAGTAGGTCCTAAGGGCTAGGAACGTTTGGGGTTTCCAAATTTTTTGTTGAGCGCGAGGCCGCCATTTTTAAAACTAATTTAAATGTACCGGTCATGGTGTAAGTCAACTGGTTACACAAATTCGAGAGGCCCCTGCAGTAGTGCACCGGTCACACTAATAGGAGAGGCCCCTGCAGTAGTGCACCGGTCACACTAATAGAAGAGGCTCCTGCAGTAGTGCACCGGTCACACTAATTGGAGAGGCCCCTGCAGTAGTGCACCGGTCACACTAATAGGAGAGGCCCCTGCAGTAGTGCACCGGTCACGTAGCACTTATTTTTTTTCTTGTAAAAATATATTTCTTTCGTTTGCACTTAGTTGACGTTGTTTAGGTGTAAGCAAAGTGGATAAGGTGTGAGCAAAGTGGATAAGGTGTAAGCGAAGTGGATACGGTGTTTGCGAATTGCAATAGCTTTAAGAAAAAAAAGGATAAGCTGTAAGCAAAAAGGATACAGTTTAGGCAAAGTGGATAAGGTGTTGTCGTGTTGAGTTTTATGACAGTTTTCGTGAGTTCGATGGCGAAACGCCCTGTGGAGCACCTGGAAGAGTCTTGAAATTCGACTACAAGGAAAAAAAACAACTGGACATATCTGCAGACTATTTCTGTAACCTAGGCAGCTTGACTGCACACAAGGCATGACGCTAGACGACGTCGGTTGCATAAGAGTTGAATATCAAAATTAATCACCCACATCCGGTACAATTTCACCTGCAGATTTCGTATTGACATGACCTCAATTTATCAGCCCCTACAAATCTTACTGAACTGTTTGTTCAGTCCGTTTAAGTGCTGCTGGGAAATACTGCTCCCCAAAAACACTTTTGAATGCGGTCAGATCAAATCCAAACAACTTCGTAATGCCGTGATTCTTGAAATCTGAATTCACGTCGATGAGTGCCGCCATGAATTCAGGAAGGAGAGACGTGGTGAGCCCCCCCCCCCCTCACCCCACCCCACCTAACTTTTTTTTTTCCATCCCCCAAATCCATGCCCACCCCGGTCTCCACGCGCTTGTCATTTTTTTTTTTTTAATCCTCTTCTTGGAAATAAATAGAAACGTAAAAATTGGTGATTAAGTCATTAGGCCAAAAAATGCCTTTCATGTGTCCAAAGAAATGAAATGTTAACAACGACGTAGCCTTTTAAAAAAAAACGTATCAATTATCTGGACTGTGAGGAAAACGGTTTTGATTCGTTCATGATCAGTGGTTCTGAAAGTGGTCCGTTCCGCACTCAGGGGGGGAGGTGGGGTGGTGAGTGTTGCTCGGTTGTTGTTGTTTTCTTTTTTGTTTTTTTTTTTTTTTGGT